CTTTCTTATGTCTTTCAACCTATAAGGTTATCGTAATGTTCCTTGTTCCTCTTTTCTAACGGAGTGTTTCCAACTTTGTTCATCTTCATTGTATTCTTTCTTTCAATTTGTTCAACCTCTCAAGGTTTGTGGTTTCACTTGCTTGTCCAAGAAGCAACTTAGTTTTACCTTTTCTCTTCCTCTTCTGTTTCCCTCCGGTGCCATCCTAGATGTCAGAACGAGATCATCTCATAGTGATGGAGTGTTGTGACGCCCCGAGACCGACGCGCCAGGTGTCTTCCAGTTATTCGCTGTTGTTGCCTTGTCTTTCGCTTGCGTGTTGCTTCTTGCCTGGTGTTTTGTTCCACCCTTGCCGCCCTAGTTTCCGTCATACCGGTGTTATGTTCCTTGATTTTGCGTTCCTTACGCGGTTGGGTGTTATGGGAACCCCTTGACAGTTCGCTTTGAATAAAACTCCTCCAGCAAGGCCCAACCTTGGTTTTACATTTGCCTAACAACCTATCACCTTCCCTTGGGTTCTGCAGACTCAAGGGTCATTATTATTTTAACCCCCCCGGGCCAGTGCTTGTCTAAGTGTTGGTCCGAACTAGAGCCCCTTGCAGCGCCACCTCGGGGAAACTTGAGGGCTGGTTTTAGTTGTACGGATTGCTCATCCGGTGTTGCCCTGAGAACGGGATATGTGCAGCTCCTATCGGAATGTCGGCACATCGGGCGGCTTTGCTGTTCTTGTTTTACCATTGTCAAAATGTCTTGTAACCGGGATTCTGAGACTGATCGAGCCTTCCCGAGAGAAGGAATATCCTTCCTTGACCGTGAGAGCTTGTGATGGGCTAAGTTGGGACACCCCTGCAGGGTTTGAACTTTCAAAAGCCGTGCCCGCGGTTATGGGCAGATGGGAATTTGTTAATACCCGGTTGTAGAGAACTTAACACTTAACTTAATTAAAATGCATCAACCGCGTGTGTAGCCGTGACGGTCTCTTTCTGGCGGAGTCCGGGAAGTGAACACGGTTATTGTGTTATGCTTGAACGTAAGTAGCTTCAGGATCACCTCTTGATCACTTCTAGATTCACGACCGCTGCGTTGCTTCTCTTCTCGCTCTTATTTGCGTATGTTAGCCACCATATATGCTTAGTGCTTGCTGCAGCTCCACCTCACTACCCTTTTCTACCCATAAGCTTAAATAGTCTTGATCTCGCGGGTGTGAGATTGCTGAGTCCTCGTGACTCACAGATACTTCCAAACAGTTGCAGGTGCCGATGATACCAGTGCAGGTGACGCAACCGAGCTCAAGTGGGAGCTCGATGAAGATCTTGATCATTGTTTTATGTCTTTTCCGGTTGATCAGTAGTGGAGCCCAGTTGGGACGATCAGGGATCTAACATTTGGGGTTGTCTTTCTTTATTTTGGTTCCATAGTCTGACTTTTGTTTATATCTTGTATGATGGTTGGTTTAATCATGTATTGTGTGAAGTGGCGATTGTAAGCCAACTCTTTACCCCTTTCTTATTCAGTACATGGGATGTGTAAAAATTACCCCTCTTACGACACGCCTACCATGCGGCTATGCCTCTAAATTGTGCCCCGACACGTGAGAGATATAGCCGCATTGTGGGTGTTATACCGCCCGGATCTAATTAGGTTTTATGCAGATAACCAAATGCATCATACAACTCCTTTTGCTTCGCTACCCACACTAGCCCAGCCAAAGAATCAGTTGCCTATTAAATTTGGAGAAAGTTATTTGCCAAACCATGTATTTTCCCATAATAGATTGGAACTCACGACTGGCTTTATTTGGTCATTAACTCAGACACCATTATGTTCTTTTTTACTCTGCATATAAAATTTGTTAGAAGTCAAACTTCGTCAAGTCTGTCCAACTTTGTAAGGAAAAATATCAACATTTGTAATACAAAATAAATACATTAGATGTGTCATGAATTTAATTTTCATATTGTATAACTTTTGTATCGTAGATGTTGATATTTTTTATATAAATATGGCCGAATTTACGAATTTTGAGTTCAGACAAATCTTACATGCGGGGTAAAAAGGACCGGAGGGAGTATGTGCCAACCAACCAAGCTGAGTAATCCACTTGTACATGTAGAAACTAAATAATGTTTTATCTCTATCTTAAACATGATTTGACTAGAAAGAACTAATGGTTGGATCGGTGAAAATCTGAACCGATAGCCTCATCGGTCAGTTTTATAAACTACGCTCGCATCTTTAATTTTCAACAACCACTCATGATCAAACATTGTGGTAACTTTTGCTCGGAGGAAAAAATATTGAAAATATATCCCGATAACTCATGTGCAAATATTATGGTAATATATGCACCGCAGATTTGATAACTTACACACAAATACCGCAGTAACTTTGACCCAGAAAAAAGTTATTGAAAACATACTCCTATAATTTCTGTGTAATTAACATGATAATATATGCACAACAGAGCTAATAACTCAAGCACAAATACCACAATAACTTTTATCCTGGGGAATTTTTTTGTTGAAAAACAAACCCCCAATAACTCATGTGCAAATAATATGAAAATATACACACCGGAGACGTGATAACTCATGTACAGTACTAACACCACGGTAATTTTTTGACCCAAGAAAAAAGTTATTGAAAATGTATCCCCGGTAACTCGGTGCAAATAGCATGATAATTTACGCACGACATAGCTGATAACTCATATATAAACACCATGACAACTTTTGACTCTAGGAAAATGTTATTGAAAACATACCCCGATAACTACTGCATAAATAACATGGTAATATAAGCTCCACAGACGTGATAATTTACATACAATCACCACAATAACTATTTGACCCGATGAAGAAGTTCTTGAAAACAAACCCGGGGTAACTTTGGTGTAATACAATTTACTCACCGCAGATCTGGTAACTTGCATATGAACACCATGACAACTTTGACCAGAACGGGAAAAATTGGTGAAAACATACCCTCGGTAACTTCTTGTGCATAGTACAGTGATATACGCACCGCAGGCGTGATAATTTAGGTACAAAACATTGCGGTAACTTTTGCCCGGGAAAAATGTTGTTGAAAACATATCCTCAATAACTTATGTGTAAATAGCATGGTAATACATACACCACAAATGTGATAACTTATTTTTAGCCTAGGCGTGGTACTTTTGATTAAAAGAATGTCGGAACGTATCAATAAGGATCTAGTTTCGAAGGTCTCGTGCTGATGGATTTTGAATTGGACCGATGGGTTGACCTACAAAACATTTTAATTTTCAAATTTGGGAGAATCTAGGATGACATCAGCTTTTGTCCTTTAATGCATGTGGGAAGAAGATTGAATGAACCGGTTTTATGCATCTGTAATTTTTCTATAAATAACATGATAGCTTTTGTACTACAAGCGTGACAACTTACGTGGCCTAGGTGTGAACTTTTGACTCAAAAAATGTCAAAATATATTAACATTGGATATAGTTTTGAAAGTCTCGTCGCGATTAAATGTTTATATGAAAATGGATTTTGAATCAGATGAGCGGTTTGAGCTGCAAAATATTTTAAATTTTTGAAATACAGAGAATCTAAGATGACACCAATTTTCTATCTTCTAGTGTATGCATGCATGTAATTAGAGGGACGAGTGCATGTAGGAGGATAGGAAGTTATTCTAATGCATGCATATAATTAGAGGATGAGGGACGCGTTTGATAGCCTACAAATATAACAATTGATAGTTAGTGAAGTTCATTAAATTTTGGTCATTGTATGATTTGTTGCTGAAATTTTGGTTGCCAATGGATGAACTCCTTCCATCCAAATATATAGGGACTGATATGTTTTTTCTAGGTTGGATCTAACCATTGGTTAGATTAATAATACATGAGATGCATGATATAAAATAGGATGTTTATGTAGATTTTAGGAGAATGAAACAAGACGACCTGATTTTCCTCTATCAAGATACTACTGTTTTGTTAGGAATGAACCTAAAATAATCCCGTTCTTCTGGAAATGACCAACATCATTTTTCTGTGGGTGCCAGAACTATAACCTTTGCCTGCTCTGAAAGCAAATGGAGGAGACCGCGACACACATTCTATTTCAATGTAGGTTCTCCTGGCGGTCTGAACCGAGGTTGCTATGTGGATTGGCCTACATACTAGTGTTGTGAGGATCTGACGGTTTGAAGCTTTGGTTTGAGATTGGCGATTAAAATGTGATTGATCGTGCAAACCAAAGAAAGGCTCTCGCCTCCTTGTTTATGCTTGTTTCTTGGGAGATTTGGAAAGAGCGCAACGCTAGGGTCTTTCATAACTCCGCCGTTATGGTGATGATTGTCTTTGCGAGGATAAAGGAGGAGGCTCGGTTTTGGGCCCTTGTCGGTGCCATACATTTGAGTAATGTAATGCCGCTAGAGTAGTTTTTTGTACCCCGCTTTGCAAAAAAATTGTCTAATCATTCTTTCTTAATCAATGAAAACGGCAAATCATTTGCCTTGTTTCGCAAAAAAAAAACATGGAGCGTTTTTTTGCGGGAAAGGAAACGCTGGAATGTTCAACGCGTAAGTTCCACAGTTCCTCAGTGAATTTAACATGCATCTTAAAGGGCTCTAATTGAAATGATTAAGCTCTAATGCTCAGTGGCAAACCACATTGTTGCATGTGTTCATAATTTGCAGCTGAAATGTCCCGACTCATGATCAAAACAAGCGGGTGAAGCCAACTTAAGGATGATTTCCATGTCCGATCATGTCTACATCATCCATTTTCTTCGATAAAATGACCACGTACATCATTCATGCATCTGCACTGTCCGTGCTCCTTTTTTTGGGGCCGGAGGCACTATTTGCAATCGACTATTGTCCATGCATAAGGGGAAACATCGCAAATCACTCGCGTGGCAGTTGTCACCTTGCTTGAATCGTTGCCACGGGAATGACTGGATTATTCAGGGCTAGAGAAAAAAAAATGCAGCTAGCACATATCAGAATTATATGGCATGTGCTGCTGAAACAGCTGAACCTACGGACGATGTGTGCGATAAAGCAACAGAGGAATCCATTGACGCCAACATCCTCATGTGCTCTTCGGTGACTATGAACAGCTTGTCGTTGTCCCGGATCACGTCCAACGAGTCGATCTCCGCCCCTTCGCCGTTCAGAATCAGTGCCTTCTCCGCGTCGACTTTCAGCTTCTCTCCTGAAAGAAAACACACACAGAGACGTTTGAAATGCTAATTCCTCGTTTTTCATTGCAACAAATTCATTCACTTGGTGAAACATCCAGTTGATGGTGCGCTGTTGCATCCGCACAGCTACTGGCTGAATACTTACCGATGATGGTTTTGAACCCCTCCATCGTGGCGGGAAGATTGATGAGCTTGCCGGATTCGGAGCTGTGGTTTCTCACGAACGGATGGCCCTTGTAGATGCTCACCCGAGGCCAGTGCGTGCTGTCCGGTCTCGTGCTGACTGGGATTGGGAACCTCCCCTGACGAAGCTCCCCGGACGACGAGCTGGCGGCCGTGACGGTGCTCGCCGGCGAGTCGTAGATGGTGATCGGGTGGCCGACCTCCCGCATCTTCACGAGCTCCCGCAGCTCGCCCGCCGACACCGTGGTCTGCCGCGGGGCGGAGCCGTCGTCATCGTCAAGGCTGGCCTTGTCCACGCTGGCCCCGTTCATGACGAGGAACCTGGCCACGTCCGCCTGGCCCTCGGACAGCGCGACGCGCAGCGCCGTGGCGCCGTCGTGGTCCTCGGAGTCGAGGTCCAGGCCGCGCTTGAGGAGCTCGCGGAGCGTGTCGACGTCGCCGCGCCGCGCGGCGAGGCAGAGGAGGTCGCCGCCGGCGCGCGGGTTCGAGACGCGCGCGACGTGGTACAGGTTGCTGAACACCTTATGGTGCCTCGCCGCGATGGCGTGCCACAGCGCCGTGGTGCCCTGCGCGTCTGCGGTTTGCATACACCGGTCGCGAATAGTTAGCAAACTTGGTCGCACTGAAATGTATTCTACGTGTTGTGTTTGTTGTTACTATTACGTACCTTTGATGTTGATGTTGCACCCGTGCATGAGCAGAGCCTGCACGCAGCCCTCGTACCCCTTTGACGCCGCGATGTGCTGTGAGTGCCATCGTTGCCAAGAACAGGGCATGCATGCATGCAGATCAGCACACACACTGTAAAAATGAGGGAAAATGTGATAAATAGTGTGTTGTTTGTCTACTTACCAGCGCGGTTCTTCCCTTGGAGTCACCGACGTCGGGGTCCATCCCGACCTTGAGGAGGTCCTCAAGGAAGCCAGCGTTCCCCGTGGCGGCGACCGTCAGCAGATTGCACGGGACGATGTTGCCGCTGCCGCCCGCTCCGGTGCTCTCGCCCAGCAGCTCCTTCATGTCATGCACCTCAATCTGATGCTGCAACACAACCACCATTTCTTTCAACCAACAAATCACATTACTGACTCACAATCTTTCTTGCCACATCTGACACACAAACAAAAAATGTAGTAGCAACATAGTAAGATGCATCGACCAACCTTGAGGAAGTTCCTGACGATGAGGGCGCTGTCGTCGGGCTTGCTCTGCATGACCTCCCTGAGCGTGGCCTGCTTGAGCCGCAGCAGCTGGCTGAGCGTCCTGGTCCGGAACGTGAAGGTCTGCGGGCGGTCGCTCAGCGCGCTCACCTCGCCGAAGATGTCCATGGTGCCCAGCTTTCCCATCACCTCCTCCCGCTCGCCGTTGAAGTATATGATCTCCACCTCGCCGGACACGACGATGTACACGTCGTCCGCCGCCTCGTTCTGCACGATCACGTCCTCCTTGGGCGGTATGTACTCCGGCTTGGTCTTGGTGACCAGCAGCAGCTGCGCCTCCCTGGAGATGCCCCTGAAGAGGTACACCTCCTTGACCACGGGGAGGAAGAGGTGCTCGCAGATGCTCTTGCAGATGGACTTGGGCAGCTGGTCCATGAGCTGCTGCTGGTTCAGGCTCTCCGCCCTGAACTTGAGGCACATGTAGGCCAGGATCTGCTGCTGCAGCCGCGGCGGCAGGTGGTTCCGGCACACGAAGTTGGACGCCGCGCGAATGCTGTTCCGCTGCCAGCCAATCAAAAGGAACTCAACTCAACAGATGTACTCACAAAAAATGGCGATCGAGGTTCAGAAGTGGAACTTACGAACTCCATGGTGCGGCGGGTGCCCTCGACGACGAGGTTGGTCATGTTGCCGATGAGGTAGGCGGTGAGGCCGAGGTTGAAGAGCATGTAGAAGATGTTGAAGATCATCTCGAGGTTGTTCTGGGCGTGCAGGTCGCCGTAGCCGACGGTGGTCATGGTGGTGATGGACCAGTAGATGGAGGAGATGTAGCGGATCCACAGGCTCTCCTGCCGGAAGTTGGGGATCACGGCGCCGATCCACGTCTTGTCCCGGTCCGGGTACCGGTCCGCCAGCAGGTAGTAGAGGCACCCGGCGCAGTGCACCAGGAACAGCGTCACCGCGATGAGCCGCGCGCAGCGCACCCAGAAGTAGCTGAACCTGATGTCCTTCTCCAGCCTGATGATACAATCGGTTCAGATCAGCCATTGTCGATCGATTTCGAGTTCTGAAGATCTAGTAATGTCCATGCATGGCTGTTGCTTGATTACCTTGTGAAGAACTGCTTCACCTTCCTGAGACGCCAGAGTCGGAGCAGGCCGAGCAGGCTGTACACCATGCCTTCCCTCACCTCGCCGTTGACGAGGTAGGCTATGCCCTGGTACGGGATCGTCGACGCCACGTCCATGATGAAGAACGTCGACAGATACCTACGCATACATGCACATCCATCAGCAATGTCGCAGCAAGGAAGATAATCTTCAAATCAATTATACATGATTATCAGAAGAGAGCAGAATTCTGAAAGCTTGGGCTTAGGTGTACGTATCTTTGTGGACCCTGTCCCGATCTGTAAAGCTAGTGGCCATATCTTGGATCTCCAATCCACCAAAAAGGAACAGGAGCTACCACTGTTTGATCGATCACACGATGTGGTCCATTTGGGTCGCGGTACAGAGTGCCCGTGTTCTGCACTTTTGCATAATTTCTAGCTTCATAATAACACGGTTTGGTTTGGGTCCTTTACTGATTATTATCAGGTTCTATCTCTACTTCTCAAATTTCTTTTCGTCAATTGCCTTTTCTTGGCCTGTTCTTTATTTTGACTAAGTTTGGCCACGTAAGGTATTTGGTGAAATCTCCCTAGCTAGTACGTGTTGTCAAGATTTCATGTGATGCAAGAGGTGAAGAGAATTTTGGAGATTACTGAGCAAGTATTTGATCCCAAGTAGATGGCAGAATGAACCAAGGAAGATTCCAAACAGTACAGTCCAGGCTTAGCAAAACGCTTGTAGACTGGAACGAAAGGTACATGGCATCTTCTGGTAAGGAAATCCTTTTTAAGTCGATAGCTCAGGCCATACCCACCTATGTGATAAGTGTGTTTAAACTTTTATATCAGTGTGATAATTTTATTAGAATTATGCATCAATATTGGTGGGGAGTTGAAAATGAAAGAGGAAAAATGGCTTAGTTGCTTGGGACAAGCCTATCCTACCGAAACGAAAGGGAGGGTTCGGCTTCAGAGACATGAGAGCATTTAATCAAGCCCTCTTGCCCAAACAAGTATGGCGGTTACTGGACAAGGCAGAAAGTTTGTGTGCTCGCCTACTTAAGTCGAAATACTATCCTAAGGGGTAGCTTATTGATTGGTATTTACAGGCAATTCTTCAATGGTGTGGAAGGGGATTGGACATGGACTTCAACTTATTAAGAAAAGACTAGTCTCGAGGATAGGCAATGGCTCATCTATTTGGACTTGGCGTGACCCTTGGATCCCGAGGGGAGCACCTTTCCTTCATATAACACCTAAGAGACAGTGCTGACTTA